TGTCAACAGGAAGACGAAAGATTTCTACCCAGGGGCCATCACAAGGAAAATCATGGAAAGATATATATATATATATCACAGAAAGATATGTATATCTATATCTATATATATATATATATATATATATATATATATATATATATATATATATATATATATATATATATATATATATATACACTTACTAAAGCGTGTTTTGATAAGCATTCACTCACTTTTTCTGCTTTTCTTAAGCTATACCATTTTTTTCGAAAAAGAAGAAGAAAAAACGAAGAATGATGAATAAAACGATTGCTTCCCCATCCCAAACCCTCAGTCGATGTAGCAGCACTCCACTGCGAGTCAGGCTATTTTTCAGTTGATGTATGTACTGAAGCCCCCAGCAGCAGGGTATTTCAGTATGACGTCAGATTGCTTACCTTAGTACGCAATACTATTTGAATATATATATATATATGTATATATGTATATATGTATATATATATATATATATATATATATATATATATATATATATATATATATATATATATACATATATATATATATATATATATATATATATATATATATATATATATATATATATATATATATATATAAATATATATATATAATTAAGATTTTTTTGTATCAAGTTTTAAACAATAAAGCAAACAACTCCTTTTTTTTAGTTCAGTTTAAACACTTTTTTAATTGATTAAGTTAAATTTTGGTTTAAAACAAAATAAAGTTTTGTTTTAAACCAAAGTTTAGTATTATCTCTTTTTCTTGAGTCAATATTGCTACTTTTATTTCATCGCATTTTTTGTATTCAATTTTCATATATCAAATGCAGGCTTTTGAAAAATCAATTCCCCTTGACTTAACTCCAAGTTCTTTACTAGGGCTTCTCATTTCCCTTGAAAATTCAATTCCCAGGATTCTGAGATAAAAATGATTGAATTTTTGAGATCCTGGGAACTCCCGAGATTAGGTAAAAAACATGAATTTATTTGATTAGTTGGGAAAAAATGTGTAAATTTAAACAAATTCAAAAAAAGTGCATTTTTGATATTTATTTTCAATAAGAAAAAGAGAAACTAAATGCTAAATAATTAATAGAAACTAAGACTCTCAAAACAAATATAAACATTATTAATTTTAAATTTTAAAAATGAAAACTTTTAAAATAATTTTCAAAAAACATAAACTGTCAATAGCGCCATTACTAGCAATGACTGAACTTTTGTATCAAAAAAACCTCCCGCTAAAAAAGCTCTTTCTGACTTAATTGTATTAAAAAAACCTTCCGCTAAAAAAGCTCTTTCTGACTTAATTGATGTTGGTGGGATAGTTAATAGAGCATTATATAATTTGTCTAAATTCTTTGTACGCTTTTTTGTAGCATCAAAAACACTAATCTCTTTTGTAATGTTTTTAACGCTATATAATATATCTTCTCGATCTGAATTCGATTAACATTTGTAATGCATCCAATTTTTGATGAAGTGTTAATTCAGATGTAGTTGATAAATTTGGTTCAGCCTTGAGTTCTTTATCGTGTTCAATTTTTACGTATTTTTGTAAAATTTCATTTTTGAGGAAAGATTAACGAAACATTCATACAATTCTCCAAACATTTTGAATTGTTTGTCCAATACTAATGTTGTCTAATAATTCATTAGTAAGCTTAATGTCACCTAAATTAAATAAATAAGTGTTTTGGCTTGACATAAACCCACTGAATTTGTAAAATTAATTTCTTCAGTCTTCTTTACTATTATTTTCATCAGTATTCTGGCTGTTGGATGCATTACAGTCGCTGCCCGATGAATTTGAAATCGTTGATTTTTTGTAGAGAATCAAAACTGCTAAATGTAGTCCATGTGTATAACAAAGTTGGTGCTCTTGCTTAATCTTTCATAACTGATGCACTGTTAGTTAAACTGGAAATTATATGCTTCTTTCTAGATAAATTAAATTTGGATAATTTATTTTCAACCATATCAACAATTTTTTCAGCTGGAAGCAACCCAAATATTTGAATCATGCCTAGTTCCAAAGACCAGGTAATGAATAAATATTAAAATTTTATTAATGATAACTTTTTAAAGATGTGTATTCACCCATCAAAATGGAGAATCTTGAAATACCTTGAATTTGCATAGTCATTTCCTTAACCACTACTTGTTTTGCTTCATCATATTGACTTTTTACAAAACTTATTACATGTGAAGGGTTGCTGTAAAGTAGCCATAGCGCAATGGTTTAAGCAGCTGTAGCGCAGTGCTTAGCGTGCTTGCCTCAGAGGCTAAAGATTCGTGGTTCAACACCACCTCTAGGCAAGTTTTATAAGAATGGTAAAGAAGGAGACATAAACTTTCTTTCAAATGCACTTCCCCAGTGCTCTGTTATAATATTGTAAGGACTTCTTGAGGCACATAAAAGAAAAAAATTAAAAGAAAAAAAGGTTTTTCGACAATACCACGCCATAATAGCATTGATAGAAAAGCCATTTACAGCTGCCAATTTTAAAACAATTTCTTCAACAGATTCCTTTTTTATAAACGATGAATGATTACATTGAACATTTTTAACTTTAAAATCTGTTTCTTTATTTGGCCTTTTTTTAGTTACTTCAATATCTACTTCCTGGTGAAGATCTTTTATATGGCGAAGAACTTGTGGAAAACCTTTTACACATTATTATTTTACATAGATTACAAGTGGCTTTAAATAATAACACAAAAAACTTTGTGCTTTTATCATTTGTAAAATTTTGACATGCCTTAAATCCAATTGAAATGATGTAATAATATATATATATATATATATATATATATATATATATATATATATATATATATATATATATATATATATATATATATATATATATATATATATATATATATATATATATATATATATATATATAATTATCTTATATATAAAACTTAAAATAGATTAAAATATACTATTATATAAATTTATATTACCTACAAATTAATCGCAAAATAGTGTGCTGATAGTAGATTTACATAAATTATTATAAATTAGTTGTAACTGCTAAACATATATCTTAAAATTTACATACTTTGTTTTTCACTTCCTTGTTTTTGTTTATACTAAACTAATTACTTTTTTTGCACCAATCAAGTAAAAAAATCACAAATGCAAGAAATTACAATGAATAAAGGGGAGTCCCTAAGATATTAAATACAAAATAACCACGGACAAATTATTCCCTTTTGTTTATTGCAATTTTTTGCAATTGAGATTTTTTATTGAATAAGTTACAATATTTTGCAGTTTTGATTTGTGTCCCAGATAGATCTAATATTATTAAATTTGATTTATAAATTGATTTGATTTATTTACTTGAATTTTGTTGTAACATAAAACATATAAAAATTAAATTTTCATATGTTTTGACTTACAACATAAAATTTAAATAAATAAATCAAACTAAATAATATTATTTAATTTTTAAAAATGCTAAAAAAAAATATTTTAAAAAATTAGCAGGATTACCAGGAAATTTCATTAAAATCCTGGGATAACATGATGATTTTTAACCATAAGGATCCCGTTTGAGAACCCTTTTTCTTCTTTAAGAATAAGCTGGATTGTGTGAATGTTGCAGCGCAGTTCTGAACTTCATCACTTCCTTTAGCAGCTATAACAATGTTGCTGCCATTGTGATTAACTTAGGCACCATGGACATCTTCATTTAAGTTGAAGTTAATTAATTTTAAGTTTAAATTAGCAATAAAAAGCGTCCAGGTTTACTGCAACCAATACTCCAGTGTGTCTACCAGTAAGTGGTGCCCAAGTAATTAGAAAACTTACTAAATAAAATCTGATTTATTTCAGTGAATTGTAAGATTCATGTAGGAATAATTGCTCCAAACTGTCCAGAGATCTGTTGTAAAACTAACTTCATTAACTTCTAGAGAGTCTTTGAGAAATTTTATTTTCAACCCTTCCTTTATATTTTCATATAAAATTTTTGACACCTAAATGTTGATGCAGATTTGACAGTAAATTTATTTTTTTTTATTATTATTTTTTTATTAATTTTTGAGCTCCACCATTATCTAAAATTTTAAAAGGTTGACCAAGCTTGCAAACATATTTTGTTAATCTAAGTCAAACTTTAATTACTTTAAATCATTTAACCAATATTTTTAGTTTTTTATTATGCATCTTTTATTTGTTATTGTTTTAACATATTTTCTTTACCAAGTTTTTGTTTAATAAGTGTCTTGGTGGTTTTCAATAACTCTTTAAAAAAAAGATTTTTGATTCGTTTTCTTTTGTTGTTTCAGTTTTAACCTAAACAACAGTTTGGTTCCTTTAGGTTTAATCACGTGGCTTTGGTCCCAAAGAGATTTTACAGGGGGCTTTTACAGGGGGATTTTACAGGTATCTGTTTTTTGCCAATTAAGTTGACAGTTGAAAGTTGACAAAAAACAGATACTGATTAAGTTAAAAAACACCACACACACAAAAAAAGGTCTTTGTTATTTGACATTTGCCAACTAAAGGTCCAAATTTCCCAACTAATCCTGAAATAAGGTTTTTGTAGGGGGGTTATACACCCCTCCCCATGCTCCTATAGGGACAGCCCTGTATATCACATAACTTGTATGCATACCAGACTTTTCTCATAAAATATTTTTTTGTAATTTTTCAAGTGTAACTTTTCTACCTTTGAACCTTAATTATCTTTAGGCAAAAATCTGTTATAAACTAGAAACAAGACTCAGATATACTATTATAAGCAAAAAAATTTATATAAAAAATATAAAATTATATCTTTTTCTTTAAGCCTAGGTAAAAATATATTTTTATATTTATTATTTGACCCAGTTTTAATAATTTTTTTAGATCAGCAGATAAGCTCTGTAAATGTAGTAGAACTTTTTCTTCTTAACTACATTTAAATAAACTTCCATAATCAATATATTCTGATTACACTACATTTAAATAAACAAACGAAAAAATTATTTTACCTCTTGAGATAATAACTTCAACTCTGTACACAATGTCGAGAGAACAATCATGACTTTGTTCAATATCTATATATACAAAAAAAAAAAGATAGAAACAAACAAGTATAAAAATAGTAATAAAAATAATTCTTCTTTATTTAATTTGTAAAAATCTTACACTAAATAGCAATTGTTTACAATATCCAAGGCCTGCAGGGCTTCTAGAAATCTTCAGCCCTGCATGGCTTCTAGAAGTCAATTACTTTAACACTATTAACATTTATTATTTAGTATTTATAAGTTTTATTTAATGTGTGGAAAACAATCTATGAATATAACAGTGTCTGAGTAATCTAATTTTTATATGAAAAAATTTTCATCTCTAACTGATAGTCAAATACCTGGAACAAAACTTTGGTGTTGACACCTGTATTAAATTTGATCTTTGGATTGGATCTTGAACAAAAAGTAATACTTCATGTTTGCAAATGCATATTAAACAGTAACAATAAATTCTAGTCAAGAAATGTGTGAGCTGCTTCAAATGATATAATAAATAACTAATAATATTAGTTTTGTTTAATGTTATTAGTATTAAAAATAAAAAAATTCTCAAAGTGTACTAAAAGTGCAACCAATGGACTTTTTAGGTATTTAAAAACAAAAGGATGATTACGCTTATAGGCAATCACTTCACAACTTGAAGTCATTAAGTATATTAACTGCGCAAAACTGAGATGCAAATAATAAATGATTTAGTTCATTAATTCTATTAATGAGCTAAAGAGGTATAAAGGTTGGAGCTTTTACATTATTAGCCAAAGAAGCCTGTAGGAGTTTTTGAAGTATAGAGTTTCATTTTGAAGTATAGAGTTAAGAGAGAGAAAAAGTTACAATAAAAAAAACAAGTCTTTGGTGTGAATCTCTCTCTGTAGTGAGTCTCTCTCTGGAACCTTGGAAAGTTGAATTTAATTTTTAAAAAGTTAGAAATTAAACTTGAACTTTGTTTTGAATTTACAGATAATCCAATGTTTGCTTGAATTGCTTTTAAGTCACATTTTAAAATATGAATTTATCTTTTTACTTTTTTATTTCTTAGAATAAAAACACTCTAACCATATTTTAAACTTTTCTAAACTGTCTCGATATTACTTTAAAAGAATAAAACCTTCAAGTTAAAAAGATAAAAATCTTCAACTTAAACTTTGCTTTTATTAAAATTTATTAATAAAATCTGTCAGTGTCTTATAATCCTGTTATATCATACATTCATGTTATGTCTCACATTCCTGTTATATCGTACATTCATGTTATGTCACATTCCTGTTGAACCATGTTGGATCAAATTAGATTAAACTTAGCTGTATACTTTATTAAAATTGTTAAAATATTATCCTTTAGACAAGTAAATGTAAAAAATCATAAAATATTGGTTCAGCTAAAAATTAATCAATAACTTTTTTGAAAAAATATTATTTAATTTTTTTATCTTTGGCAATATATGCAACTTCTTTGTCTATGACCTCTAGGCAATGCTTAGATAAAAAACAAGTGTTATACTTCCTGGTGAAATTTATGTAAAATATCTATTTCTTGTCTTTGTTAAGACAGTTAAATTTGTGGTGCAATGATAAGCAGTTCATGCAGGTGTCCTTTGACCTAACTGACTAGCATTCAGTTGGTGTAGTATATAAACACTAAACTCAGAAGTCTTTCCCATTTCATGCTAATAGCATTCTGTAGTAACACTGGTGCAATAAATTGTATTTATTTAAGTGTATTTATTTTTATAAACAAGTATAGTAAACAATGAATTAAATGAAGGAAACTTATTAAAATACTTCTTTTCATTTTTTTACGCTTTTTTTTAACTCTATTTGTTGCTTTTTGTAGTTTTAATTTTAAATAAGCCAACCCTCGGAATTAGGAAAAACGAGGGCGGCAATAATTTACCAACCTCAATCTTTTAAAGGTCGGCATCAGGTCAGCAAAAAAAATTTGATTTAAAGGTCTCACTATGAAACATAGAAACATGGTCGGCAATTATTTGTTAACCTCAAACAGTTTATGGTCAGCATTAGGTCAGCATTGCCGAATGCCAATCCTAATTCTGAGGGTTGAATAAGCATAACAGTTATTACAATAAAAAAATTTAATTTAAATTTTTTTTAATGATTTTATGATATGAATATTTATAAATAATAAACATACAGTAATGCTAACAGCTGTTAGTAGCATTACTGTATATTTAAAAAACATTTTTATATGTGTAGCATACATATTACTGTATGGATGCATACATCGCAAACTCAATGTTAATAACTTTTAAGGCATCTGTTTGTGTTCTATGCTAAACTAAACAATTCACAGATAAAAATGAATAACAAATAGACATAAGAAGATAAAGTTAACAATTTATAGAACAACTTATACAGAACTCAAGTAGAACAAATATCAATGGAGGATATGGAAAAATATCAATGGAGGTTATGGTTACTATATGGCAGAGTTGCAAAAAAAACATTTTTTGGAAAAAAACCAAAACCATGGTTTTTTTTAAAAAAGAAAAACAAAAAAACCATGGTTTTTTGGTTTAAACTCCTTTTGTTTTAAAAAAAAAAGAAAAACAAAAAAAGCCATGTTTAGTCAACTTTTTCAATTAAAAAATGTATTATTCATTTTACTTAATATTAAATTAATAAGTAAATTATATTTTATATCAACATAACTAGTGTAATTCATCAATCTTCTAGTGCTAGAACATTTTTTTAAACAAATTCACACATATAGCTTTTACCAAATGTTTTTGGTTTTTTTGGCTTTTAATTTGAATATTATTGGTAACAAGTTCTTAAATTCTTTATCTGCAAAGGTCATTGCAGCTTCATTTTCTTTTTCATAAAGATTATCTAGGATCTAGCATTTTACAAGGAAATGAGCACCACTGACAGTCTGAAGATATATAGTTGCCAACTTTATTTTTTTTTAACTGATAAAAATGATAACATGTTTATCAGCTCTTCAAAAATTTTAACAGTGCCACTTATTATTGTTTGGTCTCTTTGCAACTTATCTAGGGCAACACCAATTAGTTTTAATATTTTTAATTAATAATCAGCATTTTGTTTTATCTATATGTCACTTACTTTTCTATTGATCATGGGATTCAAGTCTCTATTTTTTCAAACATAGTCAAAATGATGCTCAGTTATTGACATATTTTTCAAGCGAATCACATACAGAATTCCAGCATGTTTCAGTAGGAAGTAGTAATTTTGTTCCTCCACCTTCTCTATAATTTGCTCCATCTTCATAATTATTTACAATGTTAAGGTCATTTGTTGAAAAATTTACGCATATAAGCAGCACACCCATAAGTTATTATCTCTTTCAGATGACAATACTTGCATTGATTTCATATTAGCTGAATTGCCTGTCACTAAGTTTTTTACTTTGCATCCAAATTTATGTGTTACAGATTTGTTAAATAACAATAAAAAATAAAATAATAAATTTTTTTGATTCAATATTAGAAAAAATAAAAAAACTGAAACAAAATAGACATTTCGCTATATGTACATATACAAAATAACACTTCTAGATTTGTTTTCGTTAATTAGTAAATTAAACTTGTTTTGCGGTAATTTATCTTATTGTGGCAGTTTAAAAAAGTTAATGTCCATAAATAAAATAAAAAAATGACAAAAACTATTCAAATAGAAGACGTAAGCATTTAATAGGTGTAATTACTATTATTTTAATTTTACAAACTATTTATAAATCTTGATCAAAAATTGCTTCTATTATGAACATTTAATAACTACTAAAATTAAAATTACTTAAATATATTTACTAAATGTTTAAAATAGTTTAAATCATTTTTAATAAATATTTATAAATAAGGAAGTATTTGCAACCTGAACATTTATTAAAATCTTAAATAAAATAGTTTTTCTTTGCGTAACTAAAAAAGCAAATGTTTATGTCTACTGCAAAATCCATATATTCAAAGAAATACAAATAAATACACACATACATACATACATACATACATACATACATACATACATACATACATACATATATATATACATATTATACTATATATATATATATACATATTATACTATATATATATATATATATATATATATGTATATATATATATATATATATATATATATATATATATATATATATATATATATATATATATATATATATTATATATATATATATATATATATATATATATATATATATTTGTATATACATATATATATATATTTGTGTATATATATATATATATATATATATATATATATATATATATATATATATATATATATAAACACTCCTAGCATATATATATACATATTAAATACTATTTAAATATATATCTTTTGCCACATTTAAAAAACAACTAGGTCAAATATATAAAATACTGTAAACTTAATATAAATAAGAAAATAATTTTAAGAATTATGATTTTAACATCTTTATTACTTAAATATGTGCATTCACATTTACATGAAAGTATTTACATGAAAGATATAAATTGTAAACACAACCCTGGTTAACTTTACTTCTGAAAATTTAAAGTTGTTTAAAAAAAGTTAGTTTGGTTTAAATTGATATTTTTTGATTGCATTGAACCATTGGTTTAAACCATTTGGTTTAAACTTATCAACCCTGCTATATGGATTTATTAGATCAATAACTACCCTATTAGAACTTACTGCTGACCTAAAAGTGTCTGAGGTTGGCAATTTTTGCTATGTTGTTACAAGCCTTCCCAGGAAAGGCGTGCGGTTTTTTTTCTTGTATGACCACACACGATTACACTATTTTAGAAAACGTAAACACGGCCGTTTGCAAAATAATAATGCTGAAAAAGTTTCAAAAACAAAAAAAACATAACTAACAAAATAAAAAGAGGTTGAAATAGAAAAAAATAAAAACAAATTAATAATTTGTGTACTGTTTTTATTTTTGTTTCTTTAGAGTTACATTCAGCAACAAAAATTAGATAAGGCGAAGCAAAAAAAAACAAAAACAGTTTGAAGTCTACAATAAAAAAAATGATTTTCCATTTCTTAATTTTTTTTAAGAGGATAGCAAAAATACAAATTGCAATGTGTTTATAAATTTATTTATATAATTTTAATGTAACAACAAGGGTTGAATTAAGCGAATGCAAAATACAAAATTTAGAAAAATATCTGGCGGAGGCGTATTTAAGTCACGTGTGATTAAAACTATGATTTATTTTAGCCGTTTTTTAATAGAATTTAGCTAAGAAATGCCTCGTGAATCAAATACACCTCCGCCAAGTATCTAGTATTCAAAATTTTAGTTTATACAAAACCGTGTTCCTTATTTTTAAGGGGAGAATCAACTTAAATTTGTTAGCGAAAAAATAAAACAATAAACTTACGATTACAAAAGTAATAACACTCTAGTCACTAACTGCATTACAAAAGTAATAACAGTATAATAGTGTTATTATTTTTATAACGCACTTATAACTTTTAAAATTCATTCTTTGTTCAAGCAACATTAATATTCCCATATTTTAATTGAAGTAGAAAAATATCTAAAAGAATAAAGTAGATGTTCAAATAATATTAAAACTAAAGTAACTTATAAAAATGTGACAAACAACTTTATGAAAATGTATCGTATTAAAAGTTTAGCATTATGAAAAACGTTACTAATGGACCGTAAAAACAGGCGTTAATTTTAAAATTAACCAATAAAATTTTTTTATTGGTTGATTTTAAAATTAACCCCTGTTTTTACGTAACGTTTTTCATAATGCTATACTTTTTATTAAGTACTTTTTTATAACGTTGTTTAAGTGATAAGTGAAAGTTCCTGAGATTTTTAATAATATTTGAATACCCGCTTTATTTTTTCTAGATGCTTTTCTACTTTAATGAATGTTTGTAATTAATAATGTTGTTTGAACAAAGAATGAACTTTAAAAGTAATAAGTGCTTTATAAATGTAATAACACTGTTATAGTTTTATTACTTTTACAATGCAGTTAGTGACTAAAGTGTTATTACTTTTGTAGTTGTAAGTTTATTGTTTTTGTTTTGTTTTTTGTAACTTTCTCGCTAGCAAACTTTTAATAATTTGCTCCTTATAAACAAAGTACATAAACTAAAATTTTAAAGACCTAATATTTTACCAGAGATTGCAAATTGCGATCGTATAATTTAACTTATGATATAAAATTGTTACATTATAATTATACAAATATATTTTATTAACAGATGACGATACATATTTTCTCTTTCCTCTTTAAAAGAAAAAACACATAAAATAGGGGAAAGTCATCCTTTTTAACCCCTAAAACAGATTTTTTTTTTTTTTTTTTTACTTTGACTTGATGAATTTTGTTGCCGATAATAATAACCACTAAGAAAAAACAAAAATAAAAACAACACACAAATTATTTAAACTATTATTATTGTTTTCTATTTAAGTTCACTTTAATTTCTTAAGTAGTTATTAAATTTAAAACAATTTTTCAACAACGCATATAATGAAACTTGCGCAAACGGCCGTGATCACATTCTCTAACTTGAAAAACGTTTTCGTGGTCATACAAGACAAAAAACCGCACGCCTTTCCTGGGAAGGCTTAATGTTATGATAAAACCTTTGTTTTTTAAACTTTTGTGCTAACCAATAAAAGTTTTTAAAAAAATAATATCGTCAATAAATTGTTGACATTATTTTTTCTATTGATGTTCTGCTAAACAACATCATCAAAACTACTTTAAATAATTTTTTTTTTAATGTTATACTTTTAATGAAAAATTTTTTTTTTGTTAATTCACCTCCTCAAGGCCTAGAAGACCTTGAGGATTGATATTTAGATATCAATAGTTACAAAATTTATATCTTATAATTTTTTATTTTATTATTTATTTCAACTCCTTTCTCCATGCAGCAGAGAAACAAGTTGAAATAAATAATAAAATAAAAAATAATAAGATATAAATTTGTAACTATTAATATTTAAATAAAGCAAAAAAATTCAAAATTTTCGAAAATAAATTACCTTATTGTCAGTTTTAATGAGTTCAATAAGAGTTGTTTGTTCATAGGGAACAGTCTAGATAAAAAAATATAATAATTAAATCTATTTTAATGTTTGAATAACAAAAGAACTTGTTAATAAAATAAAGTTAAACCTGAAGTGCAATGGGATCTAGTGTGATATCCCACATATCAACAGCTGTTTCATCCAAAGCATTTTCAATTGCCTTTAGTTGAGTAGCATACTCGTCAAAAAAATGTCCATATTTTTTTAACTGCAATTCACCAACTATCTCTAAAAGAATAGATATTTTTGTCACACATTAATTTTTTTTTTACTTTTTTTTTGTTTAAATTTTAATATTCTTAGTACCATGGTCAAAAAATATTTTCATAATCTAACATACGATATAAATATCAATAGATAAATTTTATAAATGTATAAAAATTTATAAAAACACATGACGATCAGTAATTCATTCATTAGGCAATCTTTTTACAAGTATAAAATAAGTATATTTTGAAAGTAAAAATAATTTTTATTCTTAACATGTTTCATTAACTTATATTTTCATTTTAAAAAGATTTATTTTACAATAAAAAATTGGAGAGTAGTGGTTATGATTGGTTGGTTGATATGTTCATTTGGAGCAGTATGATTATATCTGGTTGCCTATCATCCAAAGTCTCAAAAGAATCACATTAACTCAGACTTTTGCAATTATTTAAAAATATTAAAGTTTAATCATTAAATTATTGAATAAATTTAAATATTTATATACATGAGCCTATTTACCACTTTTAAGATGTTTATTTATCCTAGTTGCCAAAGATGTTTATTTATCCTATGTGTGGAAGTTTCTCTAATATAAGAAAATATGTGATAACATATGTGTTGAAGTTTCTCCAATATAAGAAAATATGTAGACTACATCAGATTTAAGTAGGAAATGAATCATTTAAGCAAAAACCTCACATTTTATTAGAAGTAAATATAAAATTATAGAATCGAGCAATGTGAATAACATTGCTTTGCTTGATACAGCAAGCTGTATCAAGAAAGAGATGATGGAAACAACACACACCTTGTTTACCTTAAAAATATTTCAAAATGGTCTAATATTAGGTAACTTAATATAGTAACCAAATAAAATTTTTATCTAAGCTATGGCAAATGCCTTTTACCATTACAATCATACTCAATAAAAATTGATACAGCTATTGAATCTATTAAATTTATTCAAGATATTGGTATAATTGTGTCTTTGGGTATGTAGTTTTACAATAACTGTTCTTTTATTACCAGGTTTATACCATCTAACAAAAAAAGAAACTTTACACCATTTATATACTAAATTACTTTGAAAATCTTTTATCAGTAATTATTCCCAAATTTTGAGTCTTATTATCAGTAATTATTCCCAAAGAGTCTACAAATAGAATCCCTACCTTTAAAAAAATGTATGTCAGATAGAAAAGGTTCAAAAATATTATACTAGAACTGTCTGTAAAAGATATTGTATTCCTTATAAAGATTATTCCTCAAAACTTAACACCTTAAATCATGAATCTCTCAAATGCCTTAGAATAAAATTTGACCTTATAATGACATACCAAATTATACACAAACTTGTTGATATACCCTTTTCTGAGTTTTTTACATTTGCATCTTTTAACTACTCTACAAAATGTCATGTCCAAAAACTTGTTCCACATAACAAATGTAATAACAACACACTGAGACTTATCTTTTGCAAAAAAAGTATTAAGATATGGAATTCTCTTCCTGTTTATATTGTTTACTCAGTCTTTGTTCAAATCAAACAAACAAAAAAAATGTTCACCATGACTGCGCACAGCAACTAAATAGCTCATTGCTTAGGAGGCTCTATCTATGAATGAGTTCTCTTTAAACTTAAATCATACTGAAGGTAGCCCAAGATATTAAACATAAAAAACTAACCCCACAACCCAACTGTTTTAATATATCTTTTCCAAATATTTATGGTCTGCATCAGTTGAATCTTACCTCTTTCAAAATTCACCAGACTTGCTAGCTCTAATTTAAATTCTGCGATTCCTTCTTCATATCTCAGTGTTGATGAGTACTATCGATGAATACTATGGATTTGCAAATAGTCACATGCTTGGCTTAGGGGTATACATACATATCAATTCACCTATTTGTTGTGAAATCAAGTTTGAATCCTTTGACCATTCTTTTAAGTGCTTTTGCTTAACACCTTTTCACTCTGTTATATATCATTATATATCTGTTATATATCACATTTCTCTCTTTTATATATCATTCTCCTTCTTCCATAGGCTGTGTTCTTTAGATGTAAATTCTAATTATGCCCTCTCTCTTGACCCCTCTGCCAATATTGTTGTTATAGGTGACTTTAATGCTCATCACACTAAATGACTTGCCTCTAACCATAGATCATCCAGGTCATATTTTAAAGAACCAGTTCAATCTTCAATCATTAATAAGGTTAGGTCTAACATTTCATCTCTCATTTATATGACTGATCTCATTAGCTCTAAGGCAGAACTATTTACAAAGAACTATTCCTCAAATTCAACTCTTGAACCATATGGCTATTCTCTTCCCTCCATTCCAATTAAATGATTTCAATCCATTGTTAGACATTCAAATCGTTTTCATTGCTAAAGCCATATCTCTTCTAGAGTTTGTGGTCTAGATAAATATTTTGTTTTCTCTCTCGCTCTATGGCTGACTTGCTAACTGCTGTAACTGTAAGATTTTATCATGCCTTAGATGGAGGCGGTGAGACCAGGGCTATTGCTCTTGACATATCTAAAGTTTTTGACAAAGTTTGGCATGTTGGTCTTCTCCATAAGCTTGCTTCATATGGTGTATCTGGGAAAGTTTTTGAGATTATCAATTCATTTCATTCTAATCGCTTCATTAAAATCATCCTCAAAGACCAACACTCTTCTTCATTTCCAGTAACTTCTGGGGTACCTCAAAATACAATTCTTGGTCCTGTTTTGTTTCTTATCTACATTAATGATCTTCTAATTTATATATTTTATATTTAAAGTTTTTGCTGATGACTTTATACTCTTTTCTTGACAAATTATATTCTTTTTTCAATCGCTTAGAACAGGCAGCTAATCTTGAACCTGATCTCACTTCTGTAACAGATTTGGGCTAGTAAATTTTAACTCCAAAAAAACTCTTTATGTTTTCTTGGATTATAGTTTACTATTGACCTTTCATGGAAACCATATATACAATCGATTGCTCAATTAGCATCTGCAAAGGTTACTTCTCTTTATCGTGCTTGCCATTTTCTTACCCTAACTCATTCACTACCTCTACAAATCTCTTATTTGTCCCTGTACAAAATACTGTTTTCATACTTGGGCTGGTTCTTCTAATGATACTCTTTCTCTTCTAGACAAGCTCTAAGAATGCATTGTAAACGTAGTTGAACCTGCTCTGTTTGCTAAGCTTGAGCCTCTTCTTCATTGTAAAGTTGTACCTCTTTTCTACAAATACTATCATAGTCGCTGCTTAAATGAGCTATCATCTCTAGCTCCATTAACTAAAACTCATTCTTGCTTGACTTGTTATTCAGCAAAGTTTCATTCGTCATCTGTCAACAGTTTCCTTGCTCTATAATTCTATTCTTTTTTTTCTAGTAACTTCAAACTTAATAGTGGTTGCTTGCAGCCTTTGAATCAGTATTTTAAAAAATAAAAAAATATTAATTTTGATATTACCTGTATCACCTGTATTTTTTCTTTAAATGCAAATTAGATCTTATATAACCCTTATTTAAATAATAATAATAATAACAACAATAATAATAGTAATAACAATAATAACAATAATAATAATGATAATAATAATAACAACAATTATAATATTATTAATAATGGCAATGATAATATGAATAATGTAAAAAACCTTTACATAAATAAATAATTATACCCCAATGTGAATAACTCCTGGTTAATTAAAAATGTAAATTAGCTGTTTGAATTTAATTTTTTATCTAATTAGTAAGTTACAATAAACAGGTTAATAAATTTGTCCAATATGTAATTCATTGAAGATTAATAATTTTTATTATTAATTTTTTAACCCCAACAGAGTGTGACAAGGTGCATAATTGGGTGAAACATTATCTTTTGCACACAAAACAAATGCTCTGCAAGGGCAATACTACTGTATAACACTGTGCTTTTTTTAAAACAAAAATAAAATACTTAAAAACATAATAAACAAATAACAATTATTATTTAATAAATTAATCTTACTTGTTGAACCATCATCAAATTTATCAAGTCCCCAACTTTCATCTGCAACCATTGTCACCATTTTTAAAATGTCTATATCACTTAATATATTATAAAACTTATTATAAAATGTCTATACCACTTAATATATTATAAAACTTATTATAAAATGTCTATATCTCTCAATATGTACAAGAAGTAATGCAAAAAAAAAAAAGTTATAAATGTGTCAAAAAACAACAACATATTTTGATTGAAAAATATATTATTAAAAAGAATAACCAATTTAAAAAGACATCATTAATACATCATTGTTGCACTTTTTTAAAACTTTATAAGTCTTAAAAAAACCAGCAAAAAATATATTTATCATGCTTTAAAATACCAACATATAATTATCATAAATATTTTAAATTAAAATCATTTTTAATAGTTCTTACGAATATATTTTTTTCTTTGTTATTTTGTGTGTAAAAATAAATTCAAAAAAATCAGTAACTTTTAAATATAAAAATATAAAATAAATTACTAAGAATAAAAGATTTTTTTCTATTTTACAACAACAAACTTCAACATGTGTTAAACTTGATATAATGTAGTATTTTTCACAACAGTTTTTTTGCCTGATACATTATTTACTAACTTTACTTCGTCCATATCCGGAAGTGGAATAAACAGCTAAAAAAAATTAATGATTTGTAAATCTTATATGAAACTCATATATATATATATATATATATATATATATATATATATATATATATATATATATATATACATATATATATATATAATAGTTCATTCTAAGCACTATATATATATATATATATATATATATATATATATATATATATATATATATATATATATATATATATATATATATATATATATATATATATATATATAACATATATAAAGTTTCATTCCTCTTTTTATTTAAGTCTTTTATACCCTGAAATTATTTATTTTAATCTATAAAATTATAGCAACATTTCTATTGTTATTTTAATGTAACAATGAATAAAGTGTTTGTCACCATTTTCCATAAATCACCTAATTTTTTTCAACTAAATCAAACTTTTCATGTGTCCAAAGTTGTAAAATTTTGGCATTTTATCTGATGATGTCGACTGTTATTGATGAAACATGTGGTCAAAAAAAATTTTTAAAGTTGTTATTTTTCTTAAAATTGTTACATATATATATATATATATATATATATATATATATATATATATATATATATATATATATATATATATATATATATATATATAAAATGTGTTTATGTTTTAAAATATAATAATCAATAGTACAATATTAACTATAACACTGATAAAGATGATTTTAGTTAACATTGTCAATGACAGTGCAGAATATGGCATGAAATTAGGTGCACGTTACCTGGATGCAGCAAAAAACCGAGGAAAATCATCAGAACACTGCAAATTGTTGAGGCTGAAAGGAAAAAAGTTCTAAATCTGTGCAGTCGCAAGAGGAAACAGTGCTTAGACTAACTTTGTGTGACAATAGTGATGTAATAGAGTTTGTTGAAAAGTTTTTTAAGATTTGTAGCAATTTATGAACCTATAAATATTTTTTAGAAATTATTTAAATGTTTAAATTAGGTAAAGAAACTTAATAATTTATGGTTCAATTTTTGAGCTGTCACGGCACAGTGGCTAGAGAATTTGCCTCTAAATCAGGAGGTCTGTGGTTCAATGCCAGCTCTGGCCATATTTACAAAATCGGTAAGGAAGCAAAACACTTTTCTTCTAATTTATATTCTACATTTGAATGTAGATAAAAAAATGCTTACCAATGATATCAAAAATAATTTACTTAATCATAACTGCATAAAACTTAAAAATTCTTTTGAAAATCATACAAAAATTTCCTATTGTAACTTCCAGATGTCAATCTTGATTTTTCAAAACAATCATATCATCACAAGTGTGCAATTAAGATAAAATATATCTTGATTATAATTAGTAATTAAAATATATCTTGATTATAATTAGTGACTCTAATAATGAGAGTTATTTTATAAAATATATAATATATAAATATAGCTAAACTATAGAAGGTTTAAAAAAGAATGCAATTGATACTTGTTTAACAGTTAACAAAAGTATAAATTTTAAGCTTACCAATTAGTAAATGACACAATGTAACCTAACTCAACAACAACAATAACAACAACAACAACAATAACAACAACAGCAATAAATTAAAAAAAATTAAATTAATAATTAAAACCTGATTTCCATTTTCTTCTAGAAAATTATTTCTGTTATTTTCATTACCATGGTTAGAAAAGCTACCATTTATTTCTAACTCACTTATATCGTAAGTATAAACAGGTGCTAAAACTCTTTCTATTTCACGTGTTCTAAAAAAAATTTGCACATTTTAATTTTATTTGCTCATTTTCTCTACTCATATTCTAAATAAATAAAATTCACATTAAAAAAAAAAAATTTCAATGTGACATTCCTTATAAAACCAGGCTTGATACTTTCTTGATACATTCCTTATAATACCAGGATTCTTGATACATTCCTTATAAAACCTTTATTAAAATTTTTATTAAAATATTTTTATTAAAATATTTAAATATTTTTTAAAGTATTATTAAAATATTTAAATCTTTTTTTAATACTCAAAAAAATATTAAAATCAAAGTAAAATTATTTTAAATAAGTTAATAAAAGTTAAGACATAATGTTGACTATTTATATTGTAATATCAATGTTTGTTTTTTATCAAAGTTGTTCTTGAATCAATTTTTTTTTTTTTTTTTATACTGTCAAAACATTTAAATTTTTCTATTTTGATTGACAACTCTGTTAGTGAAAAAAGTTGTCTCTGAATGCAGTTTTAGACAACTTCACAATTTAAGCATTTATGGTGTCCTAGTTGTAGAACAATAATTTCTGATTGAGTATACCAGTTAACATGATCTAAATCACTTTCAAGTTTATAATGTTGTATGCAGTCTGCATGCATCAGTTTTCTGTCATGCAACATGCAACACTGTTTGCATACAACAGTCTGCACTTTTCTGTCCTTCAAAGTAGTTATCTTAAGAACTACATAATTTTTTCATGGTCAAAACTACAAGTTCATAATTTTTTCATAACCAAATTGCTTAAGTGAGCACAAAGGTTGAACATAGCTTGTGCATAAATTTTTCAGAGGTTTATACTCCTACTCATAAAAACACTTTTCATTTGTCCCGAGATACTGTTTGCTTGCAATAAAACATTAAGTCCTATTTCTGTTAAGGTTTATAAGGTGTTATTTATTAAATGCCTTTATAAGTTGTTATGTGTCAAATGCCTTGGCAAAATCTAGAAAAATTACATCAGCCAACTGTTTTTTTGAGAGCATTGTTGCGACTTCCAGTAAACTAGTAAAACAACTTTTCTTAGAAAACAAATCTGTGTTGTACTTTGGCTATGATTTTCATTTGATTCATTATCTTGACTTTGAAAATTTGCTCTAAAACTTTACATGAAACTGATGTCAAGGACCTTGCTGATCTCAAACTATTTTATGTCTGCAGAAAAGTTTTAGCACTAAGGGTTGCCATAACAATATAAAAACAAGGTTGGCAAAAAATGGCCAGCCTCAGACACTTTTAGATCTACAGTTAGGTTGGCATTGGCAAATGCTGACAATAATTTCAGGGAATTATTGTATACAGTATTAATGTATACACTTTAGAAATATTTAAATTTATCTTAATATTAAAAATAAACTTCTTATTCTGATCATTATAAGACACTTTGAAGCTTTTTATACTATTTTAAATTGTATTGAATTCAGTAGAACCAAATTAACAGTTATACTTTTATTAGTTATACTTTTTTTTTATCCTTTCTAAAACCATTATTTAAATATGTAACTTTTTTTAAAACCTTTTCTATAGTAAATTATATCAAATGATTTTAATGTTTCTGAAAAAAAATGGCATAACTGACTATTAAAAACTATTTCATAAATCAAGTATTAAACCTGCATTTCACATGGAATAATGTCACATAATTAACTGCACTTAGTTTATAACTACACATAACTATTAATACAATAATCAACACTTTTTTCCATTTTTTAGATTTAGCTGTGTTTTTATTTAATGAATTTGAAAATACCTCATATGTTTTCGTAACTTCAAAGCCTAAACATAAATATAGTAGTTTAAATATATGTAAAACATTTTGAAAAAACTTTTGTTAAAATCAAAAAATATTTTCCAGCTTCACTGAATACTGTGCTATTATAAAATATGCATATGTAATATTGAATTGAAATTTTTAAGTCAATTTTATAATAAGATGTTACAAACTTGTATATATTTTTCAGATATTGTGTTATTGTATTATATTAGAACAAACAACATAATTTAGCATATACAGCTTTCAAAATTAACTTCCATATTAAATAATACTTTATTATTTTTCTATTTGTATACCATAAAATAGTGTCTGATGAAATCAATGAATATATAAAAAAAATAATAAAATGTATGCAAAATGTAAAATTAGTATGATTAGTAAAACTTATAAATATTTTTGCACCCATAATGGTAGCTACACACATTTAGGAAATTTAAAGAGATCATCTTATAAGATCATTCTTAAATACTTAAATGACAAGTTAGTTTCTAGCTCACCTATTAATTTAGTTTCTAGTTTAATAACAAACTCATACACTGATGAACAAATCTTGAAAATATTCAAAAATAATTTATGGAAGTTGAGAAATATGTTTTAGGTATAAAAAATCACTAACGGAAACATCACACAACTTACTAAATGAAAAATAAAAAAAATTATTTTTGAGAACAACTTTTTCTTCCTTTGTGGTGATTTTTTATCAAAAAAATTCTTTCTTGGTATTTTTTTTTTTTTTTTTTTTGATTCTCTAAATCAACAGTAAACATTTTGACTTTGATTTTTAATGTTTTGTTTTTTAATTATTTTGTTTTGCATCAGCAAATTAAGTTAAATGAATGAAGTCTGTTCTTCTGCATGAATATTTTTATTCATAATGTGAAATTAGTAAATTTATTTTTAAATGTGAGTATGTTTATTTTCTCTAAAAAAATCTAAGTGATCATGATGTCATTTTATTTTTTATTGTGCTGAGAATTTAAAAAACAATAACTTAAAAATAAGGAAAACAACCCCATAAATACTCTTGAATAAAATAACGTAAACTTAATTATGCATCACTGTTTGTTATACTACAAACTACTGTAAGCTTGAGCAAATTCATAATTATTCCAACAAACATTCAGAAAACCAATTTTTTAAGAAACTTTAAACATCTGTTGATACACCTTATTAATGATTTAAAAAATGCTAAAAATATAATCAAATTTCAAACAAATACTTTGTAACTAAAGTCTTTAGTATCATGGGTATTTAGGGGTAAGAATGATATTATGGGGTCATTATTAAGGGTATTATGTATTATCTATAATTGGGTCAAGTTTTCTGACAATATTATTAGGTTCTTTATTCAAGTTTTATTAAAAACTTGAATAAAGAACCTAATAATATTGATAAAAAAAAAACATTATTACAAACAAATTGTTTCAATCAAATGTTTTTTTTTTTTTTTTAAAATTCTTCAAAACCTTTTAGCTCTTTAAAGCATACCTATGGACAATTTCACCGGACCTACTTACTTTTTAAATAACTAATTCAAATTCAGATGTTTTACCTTCAGATCTCAGTGATTCAATAATGTTTCACTTTCAGATCTCAGTGTAGATGGCTATTATCCTTTGATTACACGAAAGATATATACTTCAGTATACGTCTTTTTGAATAAAAAATAAACAAACTTTTTAGAGGTCAGTTTGTCAATTCTTATTTATTGTTTATTGTTGTGTAACTTGTCCATTGTTGTGCAACCAGGTTTGAATCCTCTGACTATTTTTTTATGTGCTTCTGCTTAACACTTTTCACTCAATCGCCCTTTTTTTTTTTGTACTTCTTCTTTTTTTCTTTATCCCTCAGCCAAGATCATTGTTATTGGTGACTTTAATGCTTATCACACTGATTGTGTTGGTTCAAAAGCTAAAAAATTTTATCTTTCTTAAACTCTTACTCAGTTAACTTTGTGACTCAATTTTCAGTCAACCCTAATCACTTACTTTTACTTTTTCATGTGTCTTGTTCCTTGTCTCTTCTTTCTTCCTTACTCAGTTTCTCTTTGCTCTCCTTTAAGTGATCATGCTATGATCTCACAAACACTTTTATTCGGTAAGATTAAGTTTTATTATCACACTTCTTACTAATAGCTTAAGAGTGATTGGAATTCTTTTTGTGATTTTTTTTAGCTGAAAATTATGCTTCTTTTACATTCTTCTGAAATCAGACAGGCATAAAAGTTTTTATCCTTTCTTGCTGGTTTGAGTTTAAGTCTCACTCTGGCTTATGGTTTTCTCCTTCTTATGCAGTTGGTATTTCTCATTCCAATGATTTTTTTATTTTTTCCACAAGAACAACTCTTTGCAAAACAAACAACTTTTTATTACAAAAAATCAATGCAAATGAGTCTGATGTTAAATAGATGTCATATTTGGTCCATGATGATGCATTATTTGGTCCATGATAGACCAAATATGAAAAGAGTTTTGTCTATTACCTGATGTATGATGGTCCATTATTCTCAGATTACTAAACCTTGTTACTAAACCTTTCAAAAGTTACATTCTAGAGACTTTTGAAAAATCTTTAATTATCTTTAATATAAAATAAATAAAATATAAAAATAAATATAAAAATCTTTAATAAAAATCTTTAATAAAAGTAAATTCAATATTCCATCACTTATATCTTTAATACATTGAATGATCTCATTATCTTTCCCCAGAATAAAATTTAAAGATTCCCATTGGTTGGTAAAACTTCTATTCTAGAAATTATTATTTATATAGAGTATAAAGGTTGTTTAGATTTACTATCCCAAAGATTATCTAGTTTTACTCCAAAATAAAATGTAACAAAAAATAAATAATTAGTGTAACGCTAACATACTAAAAAAATTAATAATAACAATATATGAATTAATAATAATAAAAATAACTAGCTGTTCAGACCTGTAAATGGGTCTTCACCAA